TAACAGAAAAAAAAGACAACAGAAACCAAAGTAAACATATAAAAGCTTCCAGAGCAGTGGGTATCCCATAGATATCTATGTGTGAGGAAGGCAAGCCCTGTTGTGATTACCCAGGATAATTCAGGGTGCTATATATCTGTAGCTGCAGATTATTATTTAGTATTAGTGTGTATCCATGAACACCTGTCATTGGCAGGGAGCCTAATAAGGAGGAGGAGGTGGGCCCTGCTCATACTTGGGGCCTTCAATGTTCCAGTCATTGAGGGGAGGCAAACATTCACCCTGACATGTAGACAAAGAGAAAATCACATTCATTCAGTCACATTTACACAATCCTACCCTTACACCCATATGGACATGTATATGTACTCAACGGAAAGTGGAAAGTGGCGATCAAGGCCAGACATTGAGATGAGGATGGCAAAGGAGGCAATAAAAAAGATTCTCCAAAGCACCCTGCAGCCCTGATTCCTTGGGGGCTGCTATATCTCCATAGCAACTGTTAGATGCTACCTGCAGGACAACTTTTTGTTTGACAGTCATGAAAGGACACAGCTATTTATCTACTGCCATTGTAGATCTAAGAGAATTCTGGACACCACTGTTTGACATTGCTTCCTTCTGATGCATGAAGCTGCTGCAGAGCCCCTTCAAGACAGCTGCTTCTAGAGGTTCAGTTTCTTTATTATTCAGTTGATCTTTCCCCCCATCAGCTTATAGATTTTAAAACTTTCACTGCTCTCAAGATGCTTATTGTTTAAAACCCTGCTGTGTTTCTACAGTCCTTTTATTCTTTTCTCTAAAAAACGCTGGGTTATATTATCTACTCAAACACTGGATTGTGGAATTCTTCACCTATTCTGAGTGATATTTAGGGTATTTGGGTTATTTTTGTGCAACCCATACACTGGGTCAACATTTTATTTAAGTCCATCCCCCCTACATGCACTGTTTGACCCAGCACCTGTTTGTTTGTGCTTTTAACTCATCACCTGGACATGCTCCACATGGGAACACACCACGCCCATGTCTGCAGCAGGCTGCAGGGTTTTTATTTATGTGATCCAGCATTTGGGTAGAGGCAATAACAAATGTTTGTTATTGAATATATACAAATTTGCAGTTAATTCAACCCATAATATGGGTATAATATAACCCATTGGTTTGGTTTTAATAGAGCAGCTCATCTTGCTGCGTCAAATAAACAGCTTGGCCGGTGCTATAATAGCCCCGCTGCTGGGCTGGTTATTTCTGACCCACTTGTTTTATTGTGTTCTAAAGAGTATTCTGTTTTTTGTGCATAAATATATCTTTTTTAACACGTGGCTCGTTTTTTAAGTCACCCCTGCATAGATTTACACTATTTTAAGAATGCTATTTTGAAACTATATTGTCTTTTTCTTATCCTATAACCTTACTTTACAGTATCCTTGTCTTATGTTTTGTCCATACATTTTTTTTCTTTTTACCTTTGTGTGTACAAGCATTCACATTTCACTGGGCTACTGGAACTACAGAATTTTCCCAATGTGAGACAGTAAAGTATACTTGTATTCTGTCTCTTTTGGAGATGTGCACATTTTGCCTTAGACTACTTGGTCTCTAACAGGAACAGTGTGCTGTGGTTTGTTTTGGCTGCATACATAAATTCCGTATTTGTTTTTGGCATGGTTATTCATGCTATAATATAAATGAGACGTTGGCCATAATCCTGTGTGAGCAATCTACGGCCCTCAGAGGGACCCACAAAATATGAAACCGTTTCAATCTCAGCACATATCGTTAAGGAAAATCAACAGCACTTCCACACATTAGGTTGAGTGTACCTGGCCTCTAACATAGATAAATAGTCTATTGTTTACGTTCCATCCTGCCGCTCTTAGGTTGACATCAGTCACACCTCTGATTTAGAAGCTGACAGAGAAATTGAGATGAAGAACAACTTAAGTCCCCCCCTCAAAAAAAAAAACCCCAAAAAACCCGATATGTTTACTTTAATGACCGGAAAAATAAAAAAGATATGGGTTTGACTGAAAGAATTACTGTTCTGGTCAATCCTTTTTGCTTACGGTAAATACCTGGAGATTTATGAAAAACACCAAATGTTGCCTAACCTTGCGCTGCAAGCTGGATTGTCTCCAGATCTGAGTTTTCTGTGTCACAACAAATAACATAGAACTCAACTCTGTTCTACACATATCAATGTAGCCACTGCCAGATGGGATTTTGAACTCATTTGGTTCTTATTGGTTTCTGATCTCTATGTGAAATCTTACCCTAATAGTCAACAGATTACAGTTGCTGCCTGGTCTTTTTGCTCCACTCTAAATTTGCGTTGAAGCATCATAAATTTCGGTGGTATGCAATAGTTCGGACTGGCTAAATCTATGAAGGTAATGTGACTTTCTCGAGAGAGGAAACATAAACATTGAGATATAAAGGGTTTAAAAATAGTAACATTCTTGCAGTACTTGGTAGGAAACTGTAAATGACAGCAGATAGAAGTGTTTTATCAATCAGGACGTGCCTGAAATACCGCACAGGTTAGCAGCTCTGTCAGTCCAGTTGGTGAAGGTGATCCGGGGAAATACGATTAACGACAGAGGGTAAAATATCCTGCTTTACAAAACATACGACCTTCGTGCTTATTTGTTTCAATGTCTGCCAGATTTATAGACAGGATCTTTATAACCTCTTCCTTTTTTTCCCTCATTTCCTTGTTGGCCATTTCATCACTACACTGGAGATCCGCAGCTCAAGATGGATTGTTTTAATCTGATGTCTCTGTTTTAGCTGAAAAGCAGAGGTGAACTCAAGAGTTCGTGCAGTTATTCTGCAGATGGTCATCTCAGAGGCAATTTTTCACAATTTTAAAAGATTAATGATACTGTAGCTATTTGCTTTAAACCTCTTTTGTTTAAAATATTTTGTCAGAATTCAACAGACCCTGTTCTGATGAACTATTGCACAGTTTGTTCCCACCCACAGGGTATGTTTATTTAAAAAAAATCAGAGCCTTGTTTCATGTTTGGTTATAATAGAAGAGCAGCATCATTCGGCCATGTGCCGCTGGATGTTGGCGACCTTGTAGCAATTTATGAATGTGAAGAATGTGAACTATGAGCGGTCATATGAGATATGAAGAGATGACCTGGTTAACGGAAGCAGAGTCAGGAGGTCTGTGATCGACTTGTTGCTGTAGTGTGATCCTGTAGGTCCAGAGCATGTTAACTCTGATTGAAACAAGCCTGGTTGGCTGATATATATCCCTCTTGACTGTTAGACACTGAAAATGTCCTACTAAACATCTTTTTTTTGTTGCAAAACTCAAAAAATATCAGTAAAGTAATGGAAAATGGTAATCCGTCCATCTAACAATTATATCCATTTGCTGGAGTTTCAGGGAGTTTGGATCATTGGGTGAAAGGTGAGAGCTACATCCTGGAAAACTCACCAGCTCATATCAGGATGACAGTGACACACAAGATAAACAACCATGGACACACACACTCATACTAAGGACAGCCTAAAAAAACTGTGAAAAAAAAAACTCTACTGTGTGAAGAATAGGTTAAAAGTAACCTTAATTTTTCCATAGTTGGTAAATTCAGCTGTGTCAGCCAAAAAGCAAATAAGCATTTAAGGCATACATGTCTACACAAGACCTAAGAATATAGAAAAGATCTGCACAACAATCAAAAAAATTGAAGTAAGATGTAAAGTGCTTCTTAGACACAAAAACACTGATTTAGAGCTTAATACAAGCACATAGACACCAGGCTGGGATGCTAACCCAGGTCCTTCTTGCCACAGTGATGTTAAATTGTTGCATTGAAATAGCTGGAGACAGCCAATTTATCCTAGTTCGGTCTATACAACTTATGTAAACCTTTGCTCCTGCAGACCAATCATTCCAGATCTAATTTAAATAGAGTAGAATATTTTGTTTTTTATTTTTACCAGTTCCAGTGGTATACTGGGAACAGGGCTTACTCAGCAGTAATTATATCAGCTGCAAAATGTTTTCTAGGTTTGCGGCTGAGTTCGAAAACTTCATCCGACCTGTTAATGTTACCTGCTGTTGTGGATCTTAAAGGTAAAATCTGAGGTTTTCGTAATCTGAAAAATGAACCTCTGACAAATGGTTTCTCCAGCTCTAATGTCTCAGACATCAGTTTTTTTCCCCAAACCAAGAGCAAATCTATTATAAGGGAAAATGAAAAGAAAAAAGGTTTGGTTTGCAGAGAGGATAATCAGACCTGACCTTCTCTGCAGACACCACACATCCTGGATATAAAGCTGTCAAATCATTTTTAGTATATTTACCTGATCTACCGCCAAAAACTTCCCCAAATCATCTCTTCTGCACAGCTTCAAGTAACACCAGAGATTTATTTGTAAAGCTTAGTTCTGAACTCTAGGACAGCCATTCCACATTCTTAGCCGATAATAATCCAAGCCTGAATTATATCTTGGTAGGGAAAGTGTTTTAGCTAGCAACCATTTTACTTAGTGTTGCCTATGGAGAATACAGGAAGCTGTTATTGCACATAGAATACAAATAATACTTAGAAGAAACTCTTGTAGCTTCCTTGGTTTTGCTGGCAGCCTTTTAACTCCCTGACCATTTTCCCTAACCTCCCTGACCATTTTCCATATGATTTATTCATTAAATATGAAATAAACATCAGTTTTCTTTAATGTTATTATTCCATTATATTTTCTCCTAGATTTTATGGCTGTGTCCACTGAACCATCATGCTTAGAGAGTCTAAAATGTGAGATTAGATTGTTCTTTTTTCCTGACTACATTTGATGAATAAAATCCTTTTGATCCTTGGAAACATCCCTGCAAACTATGTATTTTTCTAAAGGAAGCAAAAATCTGTAGACGTCATCTTTACTTCCAGCTCATCAAATTCGCCACAACTGATTGGAAATTGGGCTTACTGATTGCAGCCTACTTATGCCTAACACTTTGTTCTCCCTCTTCTTTGCAG